TGTAGAGCTGTGTTTCTTTCTCTTTATTTTCCTTAAGTGGTGTAAATTCTGTGTAATTCTATATAAAAAAGCAGAATACAGATATGGTATACAAAATAGGAAACCCCATCATTCAAGCCATTTGAATAATGCTTTGGTGAACACCCTTTTGTGTACATTCTGGCGTACTTCCCATATCCTTTGTAACTGACTAGAAGTACAGGATCTAAGAGAATGTACTTTTGGGGGGCCTACCATGTTGCCCCTGAAAAGTCCCAGTTTCTAACTCTTCTTACCATATGACAATACCACACAATGCCATTTTAATATCAAAACTGGTAGCAGCACATGGAAATAATTATGAGTTCTAAGCTGAACTTGAATTGTTTGCCAACCTAAACATTTAAAGATTTTAGCATATTAGAGATATCCTTTGCCTTTTTTGTTTGTTTGTTTGCGTTTTTTTGTTTTTTTGTTTGTTTTCTCTTTGTCTTGATCCTCTAAGAATAAAAGTTCATAGGGCCAGGGAGATAGCTCAGTGGTCTATGTGCCTGCCTGGCAAGGACCCGGGTTCAATCCCCAGTATCGCATGCTGTACTGGCCACACTTGGCCAGCAGAGCCGTACACCAAAACGTTGTGGTGACACACACTTGTTTTTTGTTTTTGTTTTTCCTTGAGACAAAGAGTTTTAATTTGTAGTTTTCTATTTCTCCTTAAGATTTCTGTGTTGGGGCTAGGGAGATGGATCAGTAGAATAAGCAAGTGCAAGGGCCTGAGTTCAATCCCCAGTTCTACCAAAAAAAAAAAAAAAAAAAAAAAGATTTTTATGTATTAGTCCATTGATTTTGTAGTAATATTTCATATAAAGTCACTTTACATTTTTATTTGTGTAAATATTTCCAGATTTTTCCAATTTCTCTTTAGAAAATGTAATGTAGTTTTAGTTACAACATTTTCATTCTTAAAATCCACTTCTTTGTGCTTCTCCTTTTCTCTATATGCCTTTTCAGAATGTGATCAATTTTTTAAAATATGAACAGATAATTTCCCTTATTGACTTCCTATTTATTTCAATTATGTCTGCTCTTAATTTTTTTCTTTTCATTTATTGTAGTGCCTTTATCTTTTTTTCCCCATAATTTTAGTGAGAAACAAATAGCAATAATCAAGTTGTAATTCTTTTTTTTTTTTGGCAGTACTGGGGATTGAACTCAGGACCTTATGCTTGCCAGTCAAGTGCTTATTCTACTGAGCCATCTCCCCAGCCCTGCACCTGTAACAGTCCGAGCTGTGCATAGTTAGAAACTATACCAAGTACATAAATTGCAAAAGGGTGGTAGTTGGTTGATAGTATCTTTGTATAAAGATTGTCTATTTTCTATATACTTAAAAATTCAAGGTTTTTTTTTTCCCCTAAACATGATAGTATGTGCCTGTAATGCAGAATTTGTCATCCTTAAAATTTAGTTAACTGGAATTCAATTATAGAAAAAAAAATAGAGTGGGCTGGGGAGATAGCTCAGTGGCATAAGCACTGCCTGGCAAGTGCAAGGTCCTGAGTTCGATCCTTGGTACCGCAAAAAAAGAAAGAAAATAGAGGAATAAAGAGGGTGCTTATTTCTTAAATGAAGCACATTCCAACAGTTGATAAATACGTGTTTACTATGGATTCTTTTTTTTTTTTTTTTTTAACTATGGATTCTAAGATGAAGGGCTTGGATCTTCACATGGCTGATCAAGTGGAGGAAATCCTCTGATGGAGAGGAACTCAGACATTGTAACCAGCTCACAGCTAGTAAAGTTTCTTACTGTTCTAAAAGAATACAGATCTGTTTGTTGATTTATGACAAGTCAGAACAGGGAAACCCTTTCCTTTGTGCATACACAGGATTTCTCTGGAGAAATTTCAAGGAATTGGTGGTAACAGTTGTTCCTTGGGAACTAGTGTGAGGAATGTTTATTTCTCTGAGTATATACCTGTTTGTACTGTTTAAATTATTCACTGTATAGGGGCTGAGGAGATGGCTTAGTAGAATAAGCACTTGCCTGGCAAGGGCAAGGGCCTGAGTTCAATCCCCAGTTACGCCAAAAAAATAAATAAATTATTCACTGTACAGGTTTTACTTTTTCAAAAAAAAAAAAATATGTGGGCTTGTTATTTTATTTTAAAACCTTACTTGCCCATGGTACAGAAGATGTTAACTTTAGGAGAAACCAAGTGAAGAGCATATGGGAAGCCACTGTAGTATCTTCTGTAAATCTAAATTTATTTTTTAAATAAATGATTTTTTTTTTTTAAAGGACAAGGGAAAAAAACTTTTCCTCTGTGGACTCAGATAATATTTTCTGCCTTTTAGTCCCCGTGTGTGGTACCAGGGCCTTTCAGCCAAACTGCTTAGCCACTACCACCACCACCCATATCTGAAACTGGGTCCTGCAAATTGCCCAGAGTAGGCTTAAACTTGAGATCTTCCTGCCTTAGCCTCCCAAAGTGCTAGAATTTCAGGTGTATGCCACCACAGTTGGCTTAGTCTTGTTTCTTTTAAATATTTTCTTGTTCTCTTACTTCTCCTTGCCTCTTGATTATCAAATATAATACACCTATCTTAGCCATTTGTAGCTGTTCTATTTTTTAATTAACACAAGCTGGTAGATGCTTATAAATATTTACAAGTCAGAAGGAAAACACTGAGTATATTGCTCTTTTTTTTTTCAAAGTTTTATTGATAAACAGCAATGAGACAGTTTCAAATCAAATCGGAAGTACAATTTCAACAAATAATACACTGCATATATTCTTCTTAGTGGTTAATTGCTATACATGCTCTTAATTTACAAAAAGTACACAGAACTCAGAATTTTACATTTATTTATTCATTCATTCATTTATTTATTTATATTTTTAGATGGGACAAGTCTTGATATATTGCCCAGGTTAGCCTTGAACTGCTGGGCTCAAGTGATCCTTCTGCCTCAGCTTCAGGTAGTGTATATATGTATATACCACTGAGCCCAGCTAAAACCTTAAATTTGTTATGTGTTTTTTTAATACTGGTGACTGAACCCAGAGCCTTTACACTATGCTACATCCCTAGCCCTTTTTTATTTTTGGTACAGGGTTTTGCTAAAATGCCCAGGCTGGGCTCAAAATTGCAGTCCTCCTGCCTCAGCCTCCCACAGTGCTGGTATTACAAATGTGTTTACCTCAATAGAATGTTAAACCTTTTAGCCAGGCATGGTGGCATTTGCATAATCCCAACTACTCAGGAGCCTGAGGCAGGGGGGTTATATGTCTGAGCCCAGTGTGGATAATTTATTGAAACTGTATTTCAGAATTAGGACTAAGGATGTGCTCAGTGGTGGAGTGCTTACATAGTGTCACAGAGTCCTGAAGTCAGTCCCCAGCACCCATTTATCTCTAACACAGAGACTTTTTTTTAACAGCCTTCCCCCTCGCCCCCAATTTGTAGTCTGGGTGCAGATGCAAGTGCAAGTAATTTTTGGCAGGTCCCCTCAGTGACTGGTTGCCCATACTGTTTCAAAACCATCTGAATGTGTATACCTTACGGTTTAAGGCTAACTTTTTTTTTTTTTTCCGCCTGCGGAACCAGGGATTAAACTCAGGCCCCTGTGCTTGCTGGGCAAGTGTTTATTTTACTGAGCCATCTCCCTGGCTTAAACCATCTCCTTAGTGGTATAAGGCTAACTTGATGCATCGAGGCAGTAAGCATCTGCAAATAGGGCAGCAAGCAGTAGAGGGTAGAGACAGGAGGTGGTGCAAAAATGTGGTAAGTTGGTGATTCACGATGTAAGTTCCTTCTTTAGACCAGGAGGAGGGAAGACAGCCCAGCAGCTCTTCTTGTCTCTTGAATGAGTGAAAAAGGGAGAGAGATGTGCTGGTGGGTGAATTTCTTGAGGTCTTAGGTTGGGCTTGCTTGCCTTGTGTTCCCGGGTGCCTCTTCAGCATGCAGCTAATGAGAGTACCTCTGGGCTAGGCTCTCTCCTGGCTCTGGAGACACAGTCCCTGCTCTCTCGAGGGTTACATTCAAGGGGAGAGGATGTGTAATACACACTGAAACATGTCTATCCACATCATATTTGTGGAGCAGATAAGACCCAACATGGATACAAAGTGTAGAGTGAGGGCCTGGGAAAGAAGGTAAGTGGGCCCTGAGGCTGTTTCAGCTGGGATGGCCAGTGGAGACTTCTCCGAGGAAGTGACGTGTGGAGGGGCCTGGGGCAAATAGGAAGTAAGTGAGCCATACAGGTATCTGTGGCATTCCTCAGAAATAAAGTGAAGATGAAGGCCCGAGGTTGTCAGGCTGTGTGGCTGGAACTGAGTGAGGAAGACAGAAGGAGGTGATGAGGCCAGTGCTGTTTTTGAGAAGGCCAGTAGAAAAGCAAGTTAGTAACACTGGAGCTTCCTGACAGAGTGAGCCTGTTGTTATTGAGAGAGTAGGAATGCACAGAATATGGTGGAGATTTACGTCCTGTAAGTGGTAATGGGGAGTAATATACTATGAGTTTGGTTAAAAAAAACCATGCTTCAGAAGTTGGGATGTGTGGGTCCCATGTGACAGTCTTCCATTTTGCACAGGAGTTGACCCATTTTGTGCCCATTTCTGGAAATGTGCAGTCATTGCGTTACAATGCTCTTGGGGGCATGAATTTGTTTTCCTGACTACTTATGTCATTATTTTTGAGATGAAACTGCCAAACATCCAAGTTTAAATTTTCTTAGATCTTCTGTTTGCTTTTAAGAGATAAAGTCTTACTAAATTGCACAGGTTAGCCTCAGAGTCTCAGGCTCAAACAATCCTGCTTTAGCTTCCCAAGGAACTGGGACTCAGGTGTTTGCCAATATATCTGGCTGTTGGGAGCATTTGGAAAGCAACATTATTATAAAGGCCTCATGCTTCCCAGAATGGGAGGTGATGCTGGATCAGAAACAGACATGAAGGTAGTATGATTTAATTATCTCTGAGAAATTCATTTCTTTCCCGGTCTCTCTTCTAAGCAGATTTGGCTGCCATGGTCTCTACTACTTCTTTCTCTCATGTGTCAAACAAGCGCCTTCTATGTCCCAGGGGTTGCTCCAATCAACTTCCACCAGAACGACCCTGTAGAAATCAAGGTAAGTGCAGTATTGGATCATTGGGGCCTCTGTGCTGAGCTGTTGGTTTCTGTCCTGTGGTTGCAGAGGACACATACCAATTCCAGTTACCCAGGGAACAGGAGGGCCCACTGCATGCTTCGTGGCTACTAGGAGTGCACTCAAGAGCCTGCATTCCAGGCACTCTTTGTTTCTGTTGTGCTGGTGGCTCCTGCAGTGTCTGTCTGTCTCTTTCAGATATATGTCTATCTCTATCTGTTCCTACAATTCTGTTTCCCTCAGCTTGCCTCCTCTGGTTTTCTGCCTCCCTCTTCATCTGTGCTTTTCTCCTTTTACCAGCTTTCTCTGTGTAACTTATAGCATCAGCTCATATGGTTCATATAATGTAAACATCTCTCTTTCTTGGCAAGCAGACTTGTAACTTACAGGAATGTTCATTAAAGGAAAGTTTACTCAGGGTTGTTTACATGCCAAGCATTAGGCCTGACCTAGCCCCCACAAGAATCCTCTGAAGGCAAACTATTAGTTCCATAGATCTTTGTACATTTTACAGATAAAGAAACTGAGGCCCAGGGAAGTGAACCAGCTTGCCCAGGGTCACATGAAGAGGAAAAAAACGGTTTAATCCCAAGCCTTCTTTCTACCCTTTCTCCACTTGTCGACTCTGCCAAAGCCTCTCAAGCAAAGCAGTGGTGGGCATCTGGTCTCCACTCCTCCCAAACTGAGGGTGTGTGAGTGGACGCCTTAGGTGCAGAGAAAGAGCATAAAGATGGAATTGTTCTTTTTATAATGTGTATTTTTCCTGATTGTCCAGGGAGAGAATGCTAAGAAACACAAAATTGTTGTACAAAAGAATTCATGACATGCCTCAACCTGCCATCCCCAAAAGATCTGAAAGTCAAGGCTTTTCTAAGCCCACTGGAGGCAGGAGCTGCCATTTACCATCATGAAGCTATTTGTTTGTTTCATTTATCCTAATTAGCATGATTATTTTTGCATTTCTCTACAAAATTATGCAATGTGAGGAAGTGCTCCAGACCTTCCTGGGGATGTTACAAAACCTGTGATATGTGTGTTATGTTGCCTTTCTAAAATCTAAAGAAGTCCTAATTCTAAAACAAGAGGCTTTTTTTTTTTTTTCCGGGGAGTGGGGGATGGTGGAGGGTAACTAGGAACCAGTCTCAGGGACTCATGCTTGCCAGGCAGGCACTGTGCCACTGAGTTGATGGTTTCTTGTTGTATAAGTTGTACTGGTTTTTGTTCTTCTCATTTAGCAGATATTTAATGAGCACCTACACTGTATCGTGCCAAGTCACAGAGTTTGTACAGGTGACCCTTGCTCTCATGAAGCTTAAATTTTAGCTTCTAGTAGGAAATACTTTTAGGTTTGTTTGTTTGCTTACTTGCTACTAGGGATTGAACCCAGGGCTTCACACATCTAGGCGAGCACTTTGCCACTGAGCTGCATCTCCAGCACATTTTACTTTTTTATTTTGAGATAAGGTCTCATTAAATTGATGATCCTCCTGTCTTAGCTTCCCAAGGAGTTGGATTTATAGGGGTGTACCACCATGCATTTCTTTTTTTTTTTTTT